GAAGTAGTGCTATTTTGTGCGGTTTATGCTAGGTATTTCATTTTGTTGCTATGATTCAGAATACTTGTCTCAACTACACTTCTGAGATGCAGGCTTCTGCTTCTTCCCATTTGCCTGATCACAGGTAAACAAATGTATGTCTAATGAAGTTTCTAAAGTAATTTTCAGGTAGACACTTTGCACAAATAATAAATCTGGTAGTACCAGATTGTATTCTGACTCATGGACTATCTAAGATGGCAATAGTTGAGTCCCACAGATTCATTTGTATGGTTCAGTAGAGTATTTTACATATCTTATAAGCTTTCTACATTAGTAGCTTTCCTAAAAGAGTCACTAAAATGAAAGTATTGTTACAACCATGGAATCAAACACCACAGTGTCATAAAACATTGTTAACGAATCATGGAAAGACTTGTCGTACTAGTCTAGAAGATGATTACACTGCTGATAGAGTCCACTTGGAAGAGACACAAATGTATCAGCAATGTTTGTGATGACATATGCTGCCACATTTTATCAGCTCTTTATGATTTCTTGTTTTCACCCATCATGCAATTACTTCAGGTTTATCTCAGTGACCTAACAAATTGTGATGCTGCAAACTAAAACCATTTTATTTCTCACATGCTGTGGTAGGTCCTATGCAGGGATCAGCATAGGTACCTGGAGAAAGGGATTACACCTATGGCTGAATTTGATCGTGCTATGTGTCCATTAACATTTTGTGTGTGAGTGGAACTGGGCATGCTTTATCTTCTATGTACAAGGGATACACTTTCCTCATTAGTCATTTCACTACTTGAACCCGCCTTAAAAATGGAGGACTCTTCCAACTAGATCACAATCTTTTTGGAAGAATCCCAGTAGATCACACCATTCAGAAGACTGCAAATAAAGAAAGTCTGATTTCAAGGAGGATAAAGGGGTTTAGTTCCAGATGAGAGATTTCATTATCACTCATTGTTGAACACCCAAATCCTTGTATGAGACAAGTGAGACATGCTATAGTGTAGTAATTCTAAGTTAAGATGTGCAGAATTGGAGTTATTTAGCAATTTAAGAAGAACGAGCAGATACTGAAGCCTTGCTGAACAGCTGATGTAATTCAGCAAGTACTGATCAGACACAGTCAGTCTGTCAGTGGGTCAGCCAGTCTTGACAGATGTTAACAGTTTACCAAGACAACATGCAATAAGAGAGCAGGCACATGCTGATTTTTCAAATAATTAAGAATGCCCTTCCATCACAAAAGTTTTATAAGAGACTCTCCAAACAGAAACTTAATGTTTTCAGACATCAGTAAAAAAGAAAGCGGTTGTGTTCAGGAAAGGAAAGTTGTAACTCAAATCAGACAGGAACTTGGACATGTTAGTTGTGCAAATCTCTGCTTTCTGCAGTGTTAGGGAAGTGCTGACATAGGCCAAGTAGTCCCTATCCCTTGGCAGTATTTGCTGGATCATTAGGCAAAAGAAACAAAGTGGAAGCTGGGTGTTGCCTTTCCAGTGAAGAAAGCTGTAGAATTGATGTAATGTTTGACTTTTACAGGAGGCATTCATAGCCTCTCCTCTGTGGAGAGGCGGCAGAGGTTCCAGCACCAGCATTCATTCCCAGAACATCACTGCAACTTAAAAGATTCAACACTGGAAACAGATCCAACATTTGTGCAGCGGCTACGAGTCTCACATTGTGGACGATGCCTTTATGCTGTTCTATAGTCATCGCTGAAATTGTATACAGCAGGATGGCCGCAGACCCGCAGCAGCTTGGCGGACGCTCGCCCGGTAGCAGGCGAGCTCAGGAGCCCGTGCACTCTCCTGGCATGGCAGTTCACCTGCTGGTGCTTTTGTAGGGCAAGGAAAGGTACAGCCCAAACACTTGCATTATTACACTGAGGTTGGAAAAAAATGGGAGCCACTGCCATTTTCTAACAGAGCCTGAAAGGTCATCTTTATGTTCCAATAAGCATTAAAAACTGATTCTAAAAAAATATCACAAGCTTTTATGCACCAAAAAAATGCAAAGCTAACCTCATCCTAGCTTCTACCATGCTATTCCAACGTGTACAAAACATCAAGCACAGATCTGCAGATGATCCTCACAGTATGTGTTAGATCTAACGAACTATAATTGGATGTAGCTATGACGGGGTACATGGACACCCTGGGTAATTGGAGTTCAAGCTGTTCCAGAAGTTTGGAAATGGACCCGCAGGGAGGCCCAGCAATGGAACGGGTGTGTTTGCGTTAGTAATGGCCCTGTGCGGCTGCTTAATCTGCAAACCTTTACCAAGCAGAAGCTAGCTGGATAAAAAGAAGAGTGTATTTGACCTTTTCAGGAATGATCTGAAGGAGAAATATTAGGATGCTAAAAAAAATTAAGTTGCCCCTGTAATGTCTAGCATACTTTAATGAAAGACACTCAGCTGCTTACAGTAACTGAAACAGGTAGAAACAAATAGGTACAATTTTCATTCCTTACTAATATTAAGATTTTGCTTTTGACCAGTAACTGTGTAAAGTCTAAGGGTTACTACACACAAATAGATTCATTATAAGACTGGGAGTTATCAAGGAGAGTATAATTATGATTATTAAATCCACTGCAGAGAGCAAAGGGTGTAATAGATGAACAAGACAAACACAGGATCTCAAAAGCATTATTGAAGTTCGTCCCCGACACCAAATCAGGAGCTGAAGTTTCTGTCCTTGACTGGGTGATTCTTGCCACTTTGTAAACCACAGCACCCTATACACAGTTTCTCTTAATACTTTTAAACTGTTAACTACTCTTGAATGACATTTTGACATATATAAAGGAGATGCAGATGTTTCTCAAATAAATGTTAAATTTGCATTCATGTGTTTGCCATTAGATATTGGTCTATTTATAAGGCAAATTGCAAATTTAATAGAAAGTTGCAGGAGCACGATCTTATGTAAGGTAACATATTAATAGGATATATATTTCTGTAAAGTTTTGTCAGAAAGAAGCTAATACTGCTTTATTGTCACTGTAAACATGACCCAAACAATTTCATTTTAGCTTTATGAGCTTCTAACTAAAAGCTTTCTTACTGGATCACATTTCTGAATGTTGTCCTTCATGTCTTCACCTGGCTCATACGCAGAAAGAAAATGGTTGTCTGTTTTCTTCCCCCTCCTTCAGTTTTACTGTTGAGACCTATTATTGCAGTAATCCACAGCAGGATACCATTCTTTGTTCAAAAGAAAAATAAAGTATGTTTCATACTTTAGGTGGATGTATTTTAGAAATACAAGAATGTCGTTGTTTAGAAAGTTTTTTGTACATCAGATGAGCCCTAATTGAAAAGTATAAGGAAAATATTGATGCTTCTGTATATGTTGCAGCCAGTCATTTTGGTACAGAAATAAAGAATGGATGCTGCTATGGACAATTATTGCATCTGAGAATCATTAAAAAAATTCCAATCCCAAGAAAGTCATTTGCAGAGAAGTTTATGAAGGGATTTCCTAGTTCAGTGCATCAACTTTTAGACTACTGATTAGGCAAGAGTTAAGATAGTAGGTCTAAATACCATAGGAAGAACGGTCTGCGCATGGTTTTTCTCCTGATTGTAAAGATTTTCACAAACATTGTACATACATTGCCTTTATGTGTTTACAGATAAGACACCAAACAGGTGATGAATTTGAAGCCTGATTTTTGATGTTGGATCTCATTTACTTAATTCTGTATCAATTTTATTCAATGTAAAGCACATTTATTGCTATGTAATTTCAATTATTTAATAATCACAGAATAGTTTGGGTTGGAAGAGACCTTCAGAAGTCATTTAGTCCAACCCCCTGCAATGGGCAGGGACATCTTCAACTAGACCTGGTTGCTCAGAGCCCCATCCACACTGACCTTGAGTGTTTCCAAGGATGGGGCATCTACCACCTCTTTGGGCAACCTGGGCCAATGTTAAAACCATTACCCCTTGCCCTATTGCAACAGGCCCTGCTAAAAAGTCTGTCCCCAGACAAACCTTTAATGAGACAACATAGTTGTAATTTTTGTGACTGTAGTGAAGAGGTACACTACTCATCACATTAAAAAAAAATCAGGCATTTTTATGGTTTTGGTTTGTTTTTAACTGGAGCATATACAGTGTTTCCTCAGACTACATGCACACTTACCTTGTTTTAGGGGGATCTGATATGCAACATAACTTGGGAATCTTTTAATACCAGCAGGCTCAGCAAGTAGTCCATGCATCTTTTCTCCATGATAAGAATAGCTGTGGGAAGGCTGAAGAGTATAAAGAGGAAAAAGAAAAAACTATCTGCACTTCAAAGATTCCCTTCAGATGGAGCAGATAGAAAATACACATAGATTATTGCAGAAGCTGTAGGTGAAATTAAAAGTTGCCATCTCCAACATATGCATTTGCCTGAAGTATTCTTTACGTTTACATATTCTAGGGCGGACACAGCTGTAAAGATGTATTACTTTTTGTCTTTAATCTGAAAGTGTTGAGACTTTAAACTTGGGGTCTGTTAATACTGAGATCACATTTACAGTCCAAAGAATTATGTGTCCAGCATGTAGCAATCTTGATTATATTCCGGTCAGGATGTGGGAAAGATGCTATTAGAAACAAAACAATCAATTCACTTAGACAGTCCCACAAACATGCTTTATGGCATCTGCCTCCTACTCATTTTAAGTGAGGTTTTATAGTGACACATTGGTGAAGATTAGTACACAACTGCAGGCAGATGCCTGTGACTGATTCGATTGTTTGCACTGACACTCACAATTGCTATAATTGCAACTGAAGTGATACAAGCCATTGCAAAAAACAAAGTGAAACCAACATTGTTCCTTAGAGATTTTATTAGTTGAAACTCAGAAATGCACAGTCCACTGTGTTTTCTTGGTATGAATTCATCACAGCATTTCCATTTCCTATGCCTGCAATACTGTCCTCATTGGTTTAACATAAGAAGATCCAAAAGGCCTCTTTACAAAACAGAACATGTACAGTAAAGGCAATACATTCCAGCCTCACGTGTTCAAAAATAAATTCTTTTCAAAAAAAGTGATTAAAAGATAAAGCAAATAATTTTTAGAAAAATCAGTAAGAACTTAATGTGATCCTAAATAAAGAATATTTCTAAGTTCTAGCTTTCCTGTATGCTCCAAGTGCAGCTATCATTGCTCCTTTCCTCTTTTCCTCCTATAACTGTTTAACACCATTAATGTTCAAAGCTGGTATTTCTGAAGAGGAGTGACCATCTTCTACAGCCTCTGGAAAAAGAGAAAATGGATGTTTAGAACTGGGCAGTATCCAAAACCTTCCCAAGAAGAGACTACCTTGTAGCCTGCCAAGCAAGTTCTCATGCGGTACTGAAGACTTCCTTCAGACTGCCTACACTACTGGTGGCTCAGTCCAAAGGAATTAAGAGACTATCCATGCAGGAGTTGAGGATTTAACACATTCACTCCCCACTTAAAGAAAAGTGACTTTTGCAGACCTATTTCACTGAAAATGGAAATCCCTTTGCAATGTAACTCATATTCTGAAGATATATTTAACATCTTCATCCTGGACACTGGGAAATTTCCATTTAAATGCTCGAGACTGTGATTATATCTAATCCTAATTATCCTAATATCAGCTAAAACCAAAGAAAATCCCAGAAGTTTACAACGAAGCAAAATGCCTGATTCTGTCCTGTGTTCATTTAGACCCGCACACAGTGATTCAAATTGCTGTTGTTCCAGTTGCAGTTCCCCACGTACATCCACATTAATTCATTCACATTGATCAAACGGGACACACAAGTGGCAAGGTAGCCATGGATGCAGCAAAACCTTCAATTAACTTTTGTCTTCATTTTATTAACTAAAAGAGATCATCTCCCCCCAATATTTAAATTGGGATTAGACTTGCCAATATATTGGAGGAGAGATAGTGAAATCCACAAAGTATTGCATCAGAAAGAAGTTCTGAGAAATGAAAGGCAAGCGTTTTAAATGTCTCCAGTTACAGCACAGCACTGGAGAAGGTCAAACGCCCAGACAAGTTTCCTATGGAGAGACTTGTCAGATCTGATGCTTTGAACACGAGGCTCACACCTGCCTCACACACACAGAGCTAGGGAAACACACCTTGTGTGTCAGCGGCACTAAAGAGATTGATGCTGGAGTCTGCGTTGGTGACAACCAGGCAGCTACATCTAAGGTCTGAGTAAAAGAGAGGCCGTGGCCATGTCCTGTCCTGTGCCCGGACGGGGAGCAGCCCCTCGGCAGGCGCTTGCTGAAAGGGAGCCTTCTGCAGCCTGCGTGTGTAGAACAACTCACTCCTCTCTATTAAGGATCTGCCCCACGTTTCCCATGGAGGTTGACTACGTTACACTAGAAGACGGGCTGGTGTACACTGCTCCATTGAAAGCTAGAGAGAGGACACGTGGGAATGCTGTAGGTACCACAGCAGCACCTCCCGAGTGGGAGGCTGTGCAGCCGAACGGCTGTCATCGGCACGCGGTTCCACGGGAGACGGGTACGCTCCCGCGCTGTGGGCACAGCACCCTGAAAACCAGGCCTGGCAAAGTGCCCAATAAAAGGCATTTCCTCCCTAATGCAGACAAGAGAGAGGGGTGTTTATTGCAATGGGCCAACGGAAGACGACACTGCTGCCCTCAGTGGTTTTATCTTGGTAGCGTTTAGATTCCCAACCAAGTTCAGAACCACACTGTGGAACGCACCATAAAAAAAACCACTTCCAGGCTCAGGCTAAAAGAGGAATAAACACTAATCCTTCTTTGTAGAGTGGGGCTAAAGTACTCAGAGTCATATCAGAAATTAAGGCAGGGACAGCAGCTGAACCCAGACGCCCTAGCGTGAACTAGGGCTTAAACACAAAATCCCCCTTCATACATGTATATGCCAATCTGTATGTTTCGGAAATCTAGCGCCTGAAAACGAGATCTTACCTTCTTTACTGCTTTTGTCTAAAGAAGTCAAGAACCTCCTTACGCCCTGTAGCCTCCGCCTGTAAGTAGAAACATGAATAAATCCTGCCATCCTGTGCACCAGGACATGCAAATACTTACTTGTGGGAAGTAAGAATATGTTACCACAAAATAATTAAAATCCAATTTAAATTTTAATTCCACTGACATAGATGAGAAAATTCTGGCTCCAACAATTTATTACTTCAGAACAGCACCAGACTTGAGTTTGTAACAAACTCTAATCCAGTTTATAGTCCCCAAAGCAGCATTTACTTTTCCCAAACTAATACGCTCTGACAGCATGCGTCATTACTCACACAGCTAGCACGCCATACGGAATACAGCCGTATGCACACTTACTACTTGTAGGGCACTCCTGCCATCATAACCAGGTTGCTCCAGGTCTGCACCAGCTAGGTACCAGGCATACAGCCCTTCCACATCACCTTTAGCTGTAAGGCTGAAAAAATAATAATTAATATTGATTCTAAACCTTCAGTCCATCTCAGTGTGATCCTGGGCCCTGTTAATTAGCTCAGCCAGCAAACGCTGAACCAGAACAGGCTCAACATGGCTGCCAAGGTGGAAAGGTAAGTAAAGGAACACTATTACAACAGCTTTGAATAGCTGAGCAAGCAACCCAGCTTGATGAATCAGTTCCTTAAATTAATAGGGCTGTGCTATAAGTACTTACAACAGGCTAGTTTCACATAGTGGGTGTGACTATGACCAAAGGGGAAAAAAAGTCATGCAGTTTCATATTTCACAACACAATATTTATCTCATGAAATGAGTTGGGGGGAGGGCAATGGCTAAATCAAAATGCAGCTAAGCAAGTGAGAGCACAAGCAGATGTGCTAGCAATCAGTGTGCCTAATTTAAAACCACTAAGAAACCCCCTTCACAAGTTTGCATAACTATGGTTGCTATCAGAAGTTATGACAGCACATTTATGTGATATCATTTGGCCAGTAACACAGCTATATTTTTTTGAGTTTTATAAAGTGATTTGTAAGATTCAAATGGGCAGCAAGGAAAAAAAAGCTTGTTAAAGATGACCTCTATCTGCCATGTATAGCAAGGAATAGAAAGGATCAAAATTAATCATACACAAATAAGTGAATTAAAGTTTTCAGAGGAATGTACACTAGATTGTTTCTTCACACATCTGCTGGTAGTCTCATTCATAATACTTAAGATTTTTGTTTGTTTGTTTTTAAAGAAGGGCTAACAGCCTGTACATACGCAAAAGCATGACTGTCTATACCAAGCCTGTGGACAGGCTGAACTGACAGCAAGGCTGGCAGGACTACCTGCAGTTTTCTCTAGATACCTACATCTGTCAGGCTTCAGATCTGAGCCGGCCATGTGCTCACAAATTGCTTCAGCAGAGCCACGCCAATAATCTTCAACTGAGGTTGAATCTCATTAAGAGAGGGGGAACCCTCCCCAAATTTAAGTTCAGAGCTTGCTGCCTTGAACAGTACTCGCTGTGAGGGAACAGCATACTGCAGGCAGCAGGGATGGATGATGGTGATGGGCTCCTGGGTATGACAACCAAGCCAGACAGACCTGGTGGAGAGTGGAGAAGGCTGGAAGATGCAAGGGGCAGTCACTAAGCTTATGGAAGAAACCCTGAAAGCAAAGCTGCAACATTCACTCCTCTGCTAGGCTGAAATCACTTGTTGATTAAATCTCTTTAAGTACCTGAAAAAAAAATGTTTTCAGGGGAGTGGAAGCCTCTAATTGCAGCAGTCTCAGGAGAAAGTCAGAGAGAGGCTTTTGCTTGCAGCAGTCCCAGAGATTGGGCAGGAAAAGGGAAAGCAAAAAGTCTCCATCTGTATTCCTCGTGCAACCCTAGCCAACCCTGAGGCAGGGCACAAGACCTGCAGCTGGGGCCTTTGGGGAGCCAGGAAGCGGCAGTGGGGTGCTATGAGGTTTAAAAGTGCTTCGGACTGACACCATGAAGAAAAGGAACAATAAGTTATTAATGAGAACTGCCATGACAAAAAAAAGGCCCCTCAGAAGCAATATGGAAACAGAGGAAGGCAAAGAGGTCTAACAGGAAGCTCAGTGGGAAGTCCTTAAGGAAAGTGCAGGGAAAAGTAAGCAATAATAAAGAATAAGTGTTAGTAAAGCAGAAAAGAAATTTCTTAGCAGCCGCTTCTGAAACACAGGAGTTATCTTTACTAAGAGACAAATCTCTTGCCATTGACACTGGAAGGTCCCAGAATTAAAGGAAAAAATGAACAAAAAGCCTACCTAGCGAGTGAGAGTTACAAACGTCTCCAACACTGGACAGGAAAGCACTGTATTTGCAAAACAGAATCACATTGTTCAGCCACGTGCAAAGCAGATTACCACTTTGGGCAAAGACCAGCACATTTAGAAATATTAACAACCTACATACCCAGGGCCATTCAGCTAGCATCACTGTAAGCAACAAACAAGGACTACTGCACTTACTTGAAAATTAACTGCCTAATAGCCTCTGTTCACAAAGAGCAATTTAACCCACACTGCCAGAGGTCAACACTGTTGTCTCCTTCCGTGACATGAGTAATCCAAATACACAAAAGTATTTTCAATTTTGTAGCAGCCATTTACTGATCAGGTGAGAAATGTATTCTATGCAGACCGTGACCCAGAGAGCAAAAAGTGATGTACCTTCCGAGAAAATTTAGCTACCACTCTAAATAGAAGATACCTACTATTCACTAAATTGATTATAAACAAGAACACCACAAAACATTTTCTCCAATTCCAGATCTCCACAGTCAAGGTAAATGCATCTGTATTTCCTTTACACACTGTAAGCGTACCTCAAATAGTCCAATATATACATAGGACTTCTCAACATACACTATAGGGACTGTTGCTCTGTATTTTTCTCAGAGACATTTATGCCAGCAATTCCAACCACAAGTGCATTCTCTAAGCAGGAAGTCCATACTTTTTATATCATGAAATGGAATAAAAATAACTTCAGTATATACTTATCAGGATGTCTAAAACCTGCTTTGTTGACAAAGAACCACCTACCACATTTTTAAACTCTGACTGATACCTTTTACAGCAGATAATCCTAGGTATGCTGCCTATCAATACTCTTGCATTTAGAAAAAGTTATTACATACCCGTTTCACCATTTCATCATGGCTAACGTAGCCATGATGATGACAGGGCTAAGATATCAAGAATAGTGATAATGCAATTACAATCTCTGATTTTGTGCCTCCTGTCACACTAGCATCAAGCAAACTCAGTTACAGGACCTGCTGTTTAAGGGGTGCTCTGTTACTGTCAAGGTACCAGGAGCAAAGCTGCTCAGGTCTCAGAGGGTTTAGAAGGACAAGGGCCAAGGCAGTTCTAGATCTGGGAAGTAACAAATACAGTGAAATGACACCTTGGGCTTCCCTCCTGCCCCCTCAGGTATGAGGATTTCATCTTTCCCAGGGACACAAAGCTCTGCTTTTGCAGCACTTCTCTTTCTTCAGTGTCTACATACAGCGATCAGGAAAGACTTTGGCTTTTTAGGTGTATCATCACCCTAACAGATGAGAAAAGATTTTTTTTTTTCTTTTTTTAAGAAATGAAAATCCTCAAAAAGCTAGTCAGAAGTCCAGCACAAGGCATGGTTTGTTCTATCCTGAACACATTTGGGAGTGATGTTCTTAGCTAGTGTCTCCACATCTCTCTCAGTTGAGACAGATTTCTTTGAAAGATAACAGGCATTAAAAGCTTGGTCCCAATTCCTGCAGAGGCATATTTATCCTTCCTCTCCCCGCCTTACCCCCCAAGCTTCTGTTAAATTGAAGAGGCATCTTATTCTGAAAGTTGCTGATTTTGAAAGGCTGCATCCTTGTATGTTATATTGTATCATTTTATGAAATCTAAGAATATGAGGGAGAAAACTGGTTTGGCTTTATGCCCCTATTTATTTTTGTGAAGTACAGACAATCTCAATTTTTTCCTTTAAAAAACAAACACAAATCAACTGTTTACCAACTCCAGAACTTAACAAACTTCAGAATAAGTCTTAGTGTCCCAATTTCTTTCGTCATGGTTTGGTTTTGCAGACAGATGACAATACTACTGCAATATGAGAAGAGATTCTGACATTTTTAACAGATTACTAATATTGAGACTTCTTTCTTATTTCAAAACAAAGACATGAACCAGATACCAAACATCAGCAAAGTGATTCTAAAAATCAGACTAACACCTCTCACTTAAAAAAACAAAGCAGCAAATGAAACCATGAAGGATTTAATAACTAGATCATCTTGGCTGCACCTATGTGCTTCTCTACTCCCTACAGAAGAGTTTCCACGGGTACTGTCCAACTCAGTCCTGGTAGGTACTCCTTTCCCTTTCAAACATCACCATTGTCAAAGGAGCACATTTATTTTATCTCCAAAATCTTTCAACTGAACTATTCTATTCTAAAATAATGAGTCTAAACAGAAGGAAGCTGAGGAGACAGTATTAGAACACAAAAATCACTGTTCATGGTCTTTTATGAAAGCCAGTTTGTTTGAGGACAGGTAAGTAGGAAGGGGGGAAACATGATTATAGCTTCTAATTCAGAGAGAACTGTATGGGAAAAAAAAGCTAAGTTAGCTAAGTGCAGGAACCCAGAGCTTATCAGAAAGCAAGCAGCTTTGTCCTTCTATACCCCAAGAATTGCCTTGGTGACAAATTCAGACAGGTACAAATTGCAGCTTAAGGCACATTACAAGATAGAAGAGATGTAGGAAAACAGTTCAAATTAGACAGAGGGAAGGTGTTATAAACAGCTTGTTCTATAAGCAGCTTGACCACATGAACACCTTGACTGCCATGAAGGTACTAGTGCCTGCAAAGAAGGCTTAAAAGGAGGAGTAAGAAGTAAGACAAAGAAGTGAGCCTGCGTATGCTGGAAAAGTAAGTGTATCTGTCAGGTCATCTGAGGATACTCCAGAAGAAGTATCTGAGACATTTTGGCAGGAGGACAAACACCAGTACCTCGAATTTCATAACTTTTATGCATCTGAATAACACTCTGTGGAAAAAGTCCACTTTGGTGCAGAAGACTATGCCAGGCCCTCTAAAACAGTAAGAGGAAAGCAAGCCCTTCAGCTCTGCAGGGGCAGTGTATGGAAGAGCCACCATTCACAGACACTTGAGCACTGTCTCGAAGCCTGACCGCTGCCTCCGGCTGGCTGCGCTCCTGGTGCAGGCACTGCAGTGACGTCTGCCAGCGGGCATGCCTCCGGCCACGGCCGCTGCTCCAGCTGCCGGCGGTGAGAGAGTCATGGCCCTGGCTCCTGACCTACACCGAGGTGGGAGAGCCTTGTCCCCTCTCACCCCGAGAGGGTCATCATCCAGCCTCTGCACGCGCATGCTCTCCCACCCTCTGTTTGGAAGATTTACGTTGTTTTTATACTAAACTTATTACCATCAATGCAAGTTCAAAATATCTTAAATGTTTATTATCAAAGTATCAGCTTGGAACAACAGGTTGTGCAATACAGATGCAGGGTTTACGATCCTCCTTAAAACGCTGCAACAAACTGCATCAGAACCACTTTTTGTTTAAAGGACCCTTGTTCTCTTTTTTTTTTTGGACATACTACTCCCAGGTCAGCTAGCCAAACTGGTTCTGCATGTGGCACCAGGGCTAAGTGAGGGACCAGTTTATTTGCAGAGGAATGTCATTCCCTAAGCCACTCCTCTCACCTTCTTGGCAGATGGGAACTATGCAAACCAAGGGCTTAGTTCTGTCCTATCACTTGCAGTGCCCTGGGAAGCGCATATTTTAACTTCATGGTAAAAGTCTTATTACCCAGTCTCCTCTGAGCACGACAACAGAAACACTCCAGCTAGTACTTCTTGATTCTAGAATTAGTCAAAGGACACAGTCCAGTCTCTATATAGAACATACATAAGCTTTACCTTGACCTTATAGTTCTGTAGACAATATACAGCACTGGCTGGTCCCTACAAGCCTCCTGGTTTCCTGCCAAGTCCTGATATAAAGGCTGGTACTCAGGGGTTTTTTGTTTGCTTTTGAGAAGAAATTAAGTAAAAACTATATGTAATTTTAGGAAATATATGAAACCTTCTCACAATTTTCAGAGTAATTTGTAATTCAGGACCAGTACTGGAAAAAACTAAAATCAAGCATCTATTTCTTTTCATAATATATATCCATATCATTAAACCACGTTATGTCAAAAGCAACTGTATGGAAAACCAGCTTTAACAGAGGATTATATCCTCTTAAAATTAGAGATGGTGAGCAGTTGTTCAAAAGTTTTGGGGTTAAAAAAATTTGTTGATTTGATTTAGTTATTTTTAAGAATGATGTTATATGCTAGTTAGAGTAGAAGCCATTCTCATGTAAGTGAAAAGTGGATTTTAAGAAAATAGAAGTGATGCCCCATGTGCAGCTTTATTCTCAAATAGAGATGCTACTAAATCACACCTTGCACAGCTTCCTCCTCACTTTTCACTTCTCAGTGAAGGTGCTTGGAAAAAATGGGGCATATTTGCTTCCAGTTCACTTATCCCCACAATACTCCCTAATTTGGAACTCTCTTGAGTTACTGGTGCTCCAAGATAGAGAGCTGATTCTTATTTTCATTGCTTCACTTGTTTCCTCATTATTAGCCTAGCACAGAAATAGCCACATGATGTGCCAGGGACCCAACTGTTTCCTGGAAGTTGTCTACACACTGTTCTCCATTCTGAGAGTCTCTTCTGAAAAAACCATCCCCCTCCATTCCAATTTTAGGTCCACCTCACCTTCTACCACACTTACCCGCAGAGCATTGTTCCAATGTTCTCCAAGTCATGGCCAGAAAGATGCGCTCCCGTTTCTCGTAACAAATTAATCACTTGTATGTGCCTTTATGAAAGGAATAGAAAAAACAGAGAAAGTGTATTGACCGGTAGGGTTTTTTTTTTTCCCCCTAAATTCAGCATTACTTGTATACACAGTCAGTGAAAGTTCTTACATGATATTCACCACCATCAGATAACCAGCTTAATTTAACACCTGAAATATTAGTGATTGAAAGCATGCAAACAGTGAGGACATTTATTACACAGCATTATTCCTGTATTTTACAGAATACAATGCCCATATATATCAATCTTAAATAAAACATGTCTTGCAGATAAGCAATGAATCTTTGGGTTAATGCAGAAACTAATCGAGTTTTTATGGCTTCCAAAATTGTGGTAAGTATTCTTACGAACCTCCCACAAAAGCACATCTTTTCCTACCTGCCTCCTCCCAATACCTGTATTATTTATTTCCACCTGGAATCTTTAGGTGGTCTTCCTTGTCCTTTCCTTTGAGATAAAGGGACAAACAGATATTTAAGCACTACCAGCCAACTCCTATACCTTAGTCAGATGCTTGAGAAATTTTATGGAAAAGGCTGGTCTCTAAAGGTACTGTCATGGGTAGAAAATAACATGACAGATGAAAAATGTGCAAAATATGTTTTTCACAAGTGACCTAGTGAAATGTTTAGAACTACTTCAAAAAGGAGGTGACAGCATGCTCCTCTGCTAAACAAAGGATTGCGTTTACAAATCCAAACACATTTTTTTTTCTCCAGAAAGAGCATGATGACACCAGTAGATCAGGAATAGTTTCATAGTTCCTCTTAAGTTGCTATAAGGTAACAATTCAAAATAAAGACTTAGACGTATCACTGTTAATAGGGAATACATGGGCTTTTCCAACCCATTACCTGAAAGCTCCCCTGTATTAATTAAAAATAAAAAATAAGCTCACATACATGTTCTGCCTAATGACTTACATTTTCTTGGAGGTAGCCATGGGCCTTCCCATTTTAGAACTGGACTAAACTGCTTATCTAATCCCTCTGCTTCTTTTTAGGAAACTCCACCTTGAATGAGAAGTTACTTTACAGTTATCCATATTAAGCCTATATAAGCTTACATGAAACATATAAGATCTTAATTTATAAACTAAACAAAGAACCGTACAGATGCTATAAAAACCATTTTGCTTTTCCAAGCATAGGTTATTTAACCCACCAGACAGATTTTTTAAAATTGTACTTTGTTTCAATTGAGAGCCAAAAAAATTTTAAAATCTTTGTTTCATGGCAAGGCATTGTTGGAACAGCACATGCTGGAAGTTTGTTCAGTTATCTAAAATATTTTCTCAGGTTGGTCCCTTATGACATGGCTAGTCATCCACAAGCATCTCCTTGAGCCAGCAAATAATGGCACGGTTTCTTATTTTTCAATCTGTGGTGAAGAATGAATTCTACAGGTATAAAAATTTTAGTTCAGTCTTAAGCAGAACAGTAATTAGCTGAAAAGAAATTTGACTTAAAATAGTTTAAAGAAGAACATGTTTGTTCACTCAAGATCACATTGGGTACAGAACTGAACATGGGGAGTGTGAGTGTCTGCTTAATTCTCCAATGACTGCCCTGGAGTATTCCTTGTTTCCCACCTTATGCTTGAAATCACAGCATGAAACTAGCACTTTTCAAAATAAAAGCTTTGCTATGGGACAGCATTAAAAGGTGAAAGGCAGTAAAGTATGTAATGTTGTGTGATATTTTCCCTCACTGTGCTCCCCTTATGAAGTCTGTGTCTCTTGATTCCAGCAAAGAGCCAGGCTTTTCTTTTCCCCTGTTGTAGCTATTTACTCCTCACTGGTAGCGAGATTCCCTCCAGAAAGCACTTCATGTCCCACCTACACCACACAGCCAGTACTACTCTGAGTGGAACTCTCTAAATCTTTGATACAGACAGATTTGGGAACATTTATGCCACACGTTCAGCAAATTTAAATATGCAGGAAAATAAATACAGCAAATTTAAAGTGAGGAAAAAAGTGGTTTGAAATAAAATACATTTTTAAGCATTGAAAAGTATTTACAATAAAACATTTTAAAATAGAAGAACAATGTCCCTGTACAACAACAGGGAATTGCTCAAAATCATGTTTCTTGGTATGGTGGGAAGAAGAGGACATGTTGTATACCACTGCTTGTTAAGGGGAGGGTAAGGGAGAGGAAGAATAGGGACAAATAGTAATGTGCAACTTAAGTGTTAAATTTAGTACAGTGACTATGAAGAGCAGATCTGTCCAAGAAAGTAAACAGACCACCTCTCACATTCCCATCACTTAACATGAAAACTATGCAGGAGGTAAGTTGCACTACAGCTTGTTCCTACTTGCACCCAAGCAGTATCTACGTTCTGCAGAAACTTAAACCCTATCCAGAGTACCACTTCTCCTGTCTTGTACCCACCACAAGAGCATTATGCATATTTCAAGAGGCTGGCTGTGAATTTTCTGATACTGTTATGTCTTAGGCACATGAGAGGTCTTTAGAAGTTGTTTCTTTAAGTGCTGCTCTCCTGCGGCTTTACAAAAGCCTCGCAAGGGTCACTGTTTAGCTGATCCGAAGTTCAGCTGATGTCATGAGCCATGAATGTCTTGGGAACAGTTCAAATGTGATTTCAGTTGTAAGGTGACAGCACAAAACTAAGAGCAGAGCAACTGCTGGACAATGAGAGTTCAAGGTGTAGAGGGAAGGCCAACACCACCATGTTAGCTTGGGGTGCACAGCTGCTTGTCCGGTTTAGCCCCACCTGATAAGCAAAACCATGAGGAGCTATTGTCACCTGTGAACTGTTCCTGACTCTCCCTTTTCTTAGGGCTCTGTTACCAAACTGTGGCTCTTGGTCAGACATAGCCTATAGGAACAATGCTATTTTGCATATGTTACTGAAGTTAGCCTTTCGATACTACCACTGTCATTCATCCACTCTCTGAAGGAAAAAAACCCAAATAGACAAAAATTGTTTCTAGTGTCTCCTCCCTGCTAGATTTCATTATTGATAACACTGGCGATAAAAACCCCAATGCATACTAATATTTGAATGGATCAATAGCAAAATAAACAATGCTCTGTGGTCTTCAACATTCACTGCTACGAGTAAAGTTTGAGTTCCAGATAAAGACATCCAAACTCTTACCGGTTCATGAGGGCTCTGGATTCATGGCAATCAAGGTGCCGCACAGTACGTATCATCTTAGGGCTTGACTTGTCAGACATTTATTAAAAGTGAATCAACTTCAAAAGGGATGAATCACACATGTGAAATTAACATGCATGTAAGAGTTTGCAGGATTGGGGCCTTAGGGTGCACACCTTCCACCGACTCTCTTTAAAGAAATGCAGGTGTAATGTATATCCAAACTTGACTGGCTTCATTCTTTTTAAGGCTTGCTCCCCTAGCAACTGGAATGGTTATGGCAGGATCAGCTTAGTTTCACTTGTTCGGTTTTCTGCATGGTATCAGTGGGAATTTTATGCTCAAATACTCTAAGGACAGGCTTCAGTGCACTTCTGGAGCCAGTGGTGGTTAGATTTTCACTCTGCCTTAGATTTCCTGAAGTAATGTAAATGTAACCTTGCAAAATATCAAGTATTTAAATTCATATTTACGTGGGAGGTAATTTTACTGCCTCTAATCTGATGTTCTCACAGCACTGTATGAGCAACTCCCCATTTTCAACCTTTTACCACTGCACTACAAGTCAATGGAAGTGCTCTTGCTACATAAAATATACACGATTTTTATTCAAGACATTTTCCTGCTTAGAGAGTTTCTGTTATTAAAAAAATATTATTCTATTGTTTTGAAAATGAATTATCCCTTGAGGGTACTCTAAGAAATTAAAGGAATGCTACTAATTTTGATATGTCAAGCAACTGGCCTAAATTAACAGTGGTCTGTTTAGCTTCATGCATAAAGTGAATGAAGCTATATGCAAATTGCAAAGTTACAAATGAAAGAGCGGAAATGCAGTAGTTTATTTCTTATTTAGAAAGAGACTCCACGTTTTACCATCTAAAGAAACAAAGAGTTACTTAAAGACAAAAAATTTAAGAGACTATCACCGATATAGATCAAGTTGCTGGTCTACCAGCTTACAGTGCTATGTTAAGAAGCTTTTAAGAAGAGACATAACTCCTGATCATCTTTACAAATTATTAAATGAAGAGAGAAATCAGTCATCATTACATAGGTTTGCATGCTAGGCTAAAAGGCAAGTCACTGAGAAATGTGCCATAAAAAACTGGAAGAAAGCTATTTTTAAGATGAGTAGATACTGTACTGCAGTTAAATGCCAGTTAAACAAATATATTAATTCTCAGAAAGTGGGATTAAGCTGATGCAATATTCAGTAAAATTGAGAGAGTTACAGTATTAAGCAGTTTAAAGCATTGACTGCTCATTAAGATCAGTTTTCCCCCTTCCCTCTCTGCCCCTTTGTACACTGCATCAGGATAATCTCTCCACTTTCAGCACGCAACTGTTTAATAAATAGAATTTAAATATTTCTGTATCAAATCTTTTTAGTGGGCATCTAATTATGCACATATACAGCTGTCTGATCTTTACCATTCTTCTTCATATGCTTATCAGTGTGAAATGCAGTGTGAGTATACAGCAGCTCATAAATACACATTTATGAGATTAGTTCTAAGTCAACTCTTCCTCTCATTCTAACAGTAGAAACAAAAAGAGAAACTGAAAATGGTTATGGTGTAGTTTCCTTTTACAATTCCCTATATCAAAATGGGTGTGCAGTTTTAAAGAGCTTAAGAGTCATAGTAGGAGTCTAACATAGGAGTGGCAATGCTTAGGAATCCAAACAACAAGCTCATGTGAAATTCCTCAGGCAGTAGATGGGTGCGGTAAAAAAAGTAGGTGCCTGATTTGCAGGAACATCTAATGGTATCTAATGCTTTAGAATTTTCTCACATTGGACCAGAGCCACCTCTATTCAACTGCGAGGTTATTTGTTTGATTTGCTGTTGGGCTTGTTTTTGCTTTAAGACTTTAAGGGTTTGCCACTGAAGGGCATGTTCACGAGATAAAGCAACAACTGCAAAGGCATACGGGACCATGCAGTAGGTATGGCAGCAGTACAGTGTGGCCACACAGGACTTCAAGTCTCAAGTTCACAGAGCCTGTTGAGTTTTCTACATCTGGTCTTTGAGACAGAAAAACCCCTCAAGTTACTCCTGCAGCCTATGCAAAACCAGGACTGTCAGACCTCCCAGGGAGCTAACTCCAGCCTGATAGATCAGGTGAGCTTGTCAACATTAGAAAGTTGTAGGAATATTTGGGGACAGACATCCATGAAGACCATGAAAATTCTATCACTCCAAGCTCCTTTACAGAAAAAAGCTTCTCTCCTGCCATCATATAGACTGAATATGAGATAAGGAGCTGAAAGTGGATCAAAGAAACAAGAAGAGATTAGGGCATGCAGCTTCTAACACGTTAGAAGACCAATGGCTCTATGAATCCCCAGGCTATATAAACTGTTTTAAAATTAAATTTTGATAACTGATAACTTTTATATTCTGTGCTATGGCTATTCCTTAGGACTATACAACAGGGAGGAGACCAGTAAATCGCATGTCTGTGACTACCATTCAAGAACTGCTGACATCCAGAGCAACAGGAAGAGGAAATCCACAAAGCAGGCAGAGCCAGAGCCATGAAGCCATCCCATATAATTACGAGTGGGCGGAAGGCGGGGAGGGAACCAGTCACCCAGCAAGACACTCAGGAAAGCACTGGTGGAAGGGAAAGATTAAAACATGTCAACCTACTGGTAGATTTTGTGCCAATTGAAATAGTCTGGTCTTGATGAGAAGGGGAGGGCAGAAAGAAAACAGACAGCCCTCGGTTCTGCACTCGCACTTCTGACAGTCAAAAGGAGGGATCAGTTTGGCTCGGTTTTATAAAGGAAGCCTCATAACAAAGAGTGGAGTCCTGAAATTATGGACAAAGACTTGGCAAGAAAGCAGTGATAAGTTACCTTATGCTAAAATTCTCAATGGCATACCAAGTTGCTTGCTTTTATTTCATATAATTCTAGAAAAATCTTTTAATTTAGGCTAGTCACATCCTTTGAAATGAAGCTGGTTTGTGTTATTTTAACTGCTGTTATTTACAGATGACTGCTGAGACAAAACAAGCCCAACATAGAGGGATGGACTTTAAATCCAAAATGATAGGTTTATTAACTTTGGAGTGATGTATAAATTATTTTATTACCTGAACTTGATCGCGTTCATCAGTGGGGTAGATCCATATCTGTCTCTAGCATAAACAGTTGCACCAGATGTCAACAAATACTCAACTAATGGTAAATGCCCTTCAGAGGCTGCAATATGAAGTGGAGTTCGGCCATCATAGTCTCCACAGCTCAGGTTTCCACCCTACAAAAGGACAGATCCTTTGCATGCTAAAAAGATAATGTCTGCACATTAAGTTGTTGGTACAACAGTAGATGCATACACCACATTTAAATTCTGCCATCAAAATGTTAAGCGTATCAAACTTAAAGTTTATCTTGTAGAGTTACTTTAGCACCAATAAAGATATTTATTCCACTTTCTGCATGTTCCTTCCTCTACACATATTCTCATTACAGCCCCTTCAGATATGTTCTTTATTGCACTACACTGTACAGCAGCTTTGTGCCTATAGTCTTCTAATTTTATTTGTCTTAGTTTATTGTTATTTTCAAGATATATTTAATCTTTTTAGAGGCCCATTACCAAAGTCTCAAGAGTAGAGTAAACCAAGGCAAAGATGAAAAAACAAGAGGTGTAGAAGATGAAGGGAAATGTTGGTTTCTTTTTCAGGTATAACTGAAGCTAGAGCTACAGGGAGAGCCAAATATCCTGTATTAGCACTGCACTGTGTTTTGCTTATATATAATTTTCAAGTTTCTTTTTTTAATCATGACAGATTTACATCCAAAAGCTGGATACTATGAATATGCATAAAGAAAGTTAAGCAAAAGAAAGCAGCACAAACCATTTTAAAGTGTTCCAAAGTTAGCAGATAAGAACTTGCATTTTAATCTCCCTGTATTTTCACAGTTCAAAAGAAAATGTAAACAGCTGAGAAACCAGATAGGGGAAAGAACACAGCAGTTTCGAAAGGCAAAGACTGAAAAGCCTAGAAACCAACTGTATTAGTCAAAGCACCTTGATTCTAAAACTTAGGTAGTTGCTTCCCAGTGAGCATAGCTTCCTCCCATCATTTACAGCTCTATTTTAAAAATCATGTTTTGTACAAACTGTTTATTTTACATTACCATTTCTGCTATGGCTCTTAGTGCGTCTATGTCACCCAGTTTAGCTGCAGCACAAGCCAAAGGTGGAATTAATGCATCTCTTACAGCTTCTAACTCCTGAGAAACAAATAAAATTAAGCATTTAATATCAGCCTCGCCTCTAATGTGATTGATGTCCAAGTCATAAAAACACTGCCCTTGCTTTCATGTAAAGTTTCCAAATTAGTCATTTGGTTATTTAAAAATGGTAGCATTCAGTTCTTGGAAGGAAAGAAGTCTCATGTGTGTTTTACATTTTGTCGGTCTCTTATCCATGAAGATTTACGTTCCTCCCTGGCAACACTACAGTTACCTGATATCTACATATACACCATTTAAGATGCACGCACTAATTACAATCTCTGTACTGCCATAGTTACACATCAGTACAGTAAGAGAAACAGCACTAGTAGGAGCTGGAGAAGACCATACAGTCCAGTCTCTTCAAGACTGGATCAACTTTACTCATGTGATTCCTCAGATATTTGTATAACCTGTACTTCCAAACCTCCACTGACAAGCTCCAGAGGCCTCTTATTTAGAAAGTCCCCTATTCCTCATATTCACTGAGGAAGAACCATACATTCAGTATTCATTAGCTACTAAAAATCCCATCTTCCCTGAAACCAAGCCAAGAGAAAACCGAATACTTGTATCTTACAATCAATAGGACAATCCAAATATATTCGCTGATGTTCCAATTGTGACAAACTAATATTAAACACCACAAATCATGCTTATGTAATGCTTCCTTAGTATCAGCCTTCTGTGACTGCATGTACAATTAATAATTACCTGTTATTATTTGGATTGCTCCAAACTGTCAATACATTTGACCACAAAAATACAAAGCACTTTTTCATATCATTGATACCCTGAATTACAGCAACTGTCTGAGGCTTATTATTGCAACCAGCCAGCCAAGAAAATAAACTCAAGATGGGGCTACAAAGAGGAAAAAAAGTTAATATGTTTTTAATTAAAAACATTTTAAATGTTATGCTTGCCATTGTGTCCTTTCTCCCTAACCCAACTGGTTAGCTGGGACACTCAGTACTAAAAAAAATAGTGTCAAAGCTCCAGTGTTCCATTTTTCTTTCAGCTTTGCTGTTCATTTTTAAGCTATGTTCATTTAACTGAGTTCACAGCTTTACATGAATTCAGTTTTAAATATTTAAGTATATACCTCCTTGCTGCTGATACTTAGAGATTTGGCAATCACTTGAATAAACTTGCTATCTCTCAGAGAGATCTTGGCTCCTGTGGGTACAACAGTCATTTCTCCTCTTAGATTCTCACTCAGCATCTGAAAAGCAAGCAATCAAATCCTTTGTTAGCAGAGGAAAAATATGGTAGTAGTCTAATAAAAAACCTTAGGATCAAGTTAGAAAATTGTTTGGAGGAATTATGGAAACTAATTGAATGCAGACAAAATATTAAAGAAATAGTTACTGTCCCATGAAGATTGCAAGTTTAAAAAGACAAAAGGGGAAAAAAAAAGGGGGGGGGGCAGGCAAATAAAACTTTCTTCCAAAGCAAAGAAACCAAAATAAGCACATAACAAAGCACCCCAATTTTAGAGTATGCAGACAAAAGTTCCCTAGTGGGGTAAGCTGCAGCCGACTTAAAAACACAAAGATATTGAGTAATTAGCAGAGTGAGGCTGAAGACCAGAATATTCTGAAATGCTGCCTTTTGCCAGCACTCCCAAACCTCAGTACTCATACACAGACTGTGTACGTAGGCCTCAAAACAAAGCTCAGTGCTGCCTGTGGACAGTCATGTATTTCAATGGATTTTCAAACAGCTCCACTAGCCCTGATTTTGTCAAAACTTGGCCATGGAGCCAGCTCTGAACACAGAGGGTGTAAAGTAGTACTAGTCATTCAATATTGAAGCGGGCATGTAACAGTTTGCAGGATGGGTGCATCCAATATAACCAGGGGAAAAAAAGCAAACCAAAAAAAGGTCAGCCAATTCCTGTGTAGAAAGTGCTAGAATATGGCAGTAAAGAAATGAAAATACTCCAAAAGACAAGTTTTGGGAAACCTGGAGAACAGAGAGAGAAGCCAGTCATTAAGAAAAAGTAACTGGTTTCCTCAATTCTGACAATTTTACATACTGGCACTCTTTCACAAAAGGTTGCTGATGCAGCTATAAAGCACGTACTTATTTCAATTAGAATTTTAAAAAGCAGGATTGTGAAAGTTTGCAAGAAACAGATGTGATGTTGGAAGGAGGAATGCCCCAGGTTTACTTATGTCTAGGCATGCCCTTTAATAAAAAAAAACAAAACTCCAAGCGCTGACAACACTGTAGCTGTCTGCTGGCAGAGTCCCATATACATGTAACTCAGAGCATACCAACTGCTTTGGCACACTTTTAGAGTTTGACAGGTTGAGATCATTGCTTTGCACAGGTAACCTTAGCAATTGGCACCTGTGCTAAATGCACCCAGTGCAAAGCCCTACGTGCCTTACTCAGTCCTACCAGCTCTGCAGCCATTTGCATGTGTCTGGGGGCACATTCTTTGCTTCTTCGTGTTGAAAGAGAATCCTAAAATAACCACGCCAGCTTCAGGAGAGCTTCCGTCTCTTGGGAGACTATTGTTTGGTGATATGTTTAGCTGAAGATATTGCCACAGACAACATATTTCCAGGCTTTCTTCTTCTCCTGGTCTCTACCACTCATTCCTGCCCAGGCAATGCAGCATGCTGCTCCCTTAGTTGTGCCAACACAATTGTTTGTGGGTCTGTACAATGAGTCAAATGAGGAAACCGATCCTGCTTAACTCAAAGAAATTGCAAAAGATATTTTGTTTTTCAGACCATATAAAGGAACTCCAACACCACCACACGAAAACTCTGTAGCACATTCCAAAGGGCAGCACATGAAGATACAGGAGTACCTTGTGCCAAGGGTACCTAAAACATCCTATCACCAAGTCCTCACCTGAGTAAATCAGCTATATCACCTCAGCAACCTGGATCTCAAATTAAGTTTTAACTCACACACCAAGGCAGGAAGCCAGCTGGGAAAGTTTCTCCTATCCCAGGCCAAATAATCCTCTCTGCAAGAAGATTAAGTCTACATTAAAAAACCAGGCTACTGTATGTGTGTTCCAGGGTCAGTGAGTGTACCAAAGGGGCACCCGTGAAGAGCCTGGGTTTCTAAAGTGTATATACACAAACACATGCAATACCACTACTCTTCACACAGCATTATGTCGTCTGTCAAGCATGTTCTTGCACGGAGTATGTTCTTGCCATCCACACCGAAGAAAGACATAGCTCCTCCTCTCATTTTTCAGGGCCAGAACTTCAGCAAACAACTGAAAGCTCACAGTCTGAAACTGATTCTGAGCACAGTAAGTGGTACTCCCAGCCACCCTACTTATGGTCACAGGTACTCAAATATGTTTGTCTCAAGAGCTGCTACTGGTTGGAAGATACAGAGCATGAAGTAATGATCAAATTTGTTTAAGATTTAATAAAACACAAAACACTATCATAAGATACACATGTGCATGCAATGCTTAAGTCTAGAGAGTGACTCATCATGATGTCATCTCCCAAAGTGTGAGGATTATGATTTCACTGCAT